AGTAGACCATTATGCGAGTCATCTTTGAAGAATTTCTGTGCCAATTAAAACAAAAAGTGATAAATTGTAGTGCAACAGAGTATCTTTGAAATTAGTAAGTCTGTGAATCAGATGATCAACAGGTGTCATTCATGTTGAGTTGAGCCTAATGCCTTAGGTGTTAGGCTTGCCACAGAATCTTTGTAACAACTTTGGCATATGAAGATTTAGTATGGTGTACAACTAGATAGCTGGAAAACGGGTAGGATTTTGGAGCTTGAAATCTGGTGGTTAAAACTTTATGTTCTTCCTGGAGGCTTATTACAAGTGGAGGTCTACATGCCACCTGTTGTGGTCACTATTCCAAGTGACTTGGGAAAAGGGAGGAAGTTGACCCTCATCAAGCTTGTAGACAAGGGGTGTAGCTGATGTTCTCAAAAGCAGAGCTGTTGTCCAGAGGGACCAGGACCAGTGGAACAAAGGGCTGTCAGGGACCCAGTGCAATTTAGGCAGGAGCAGTGTGGGTAGGCAGGGACCTGACAGCAGTGCCAGCAGGACTAGGGCAGAAGGCCCTGGGCCCTTCCAGGCAGCAAACTGGGCAGGGTCAGAGAGGCTGGAAATAAGAGAAAGCTTCCCCCTGCCCCCAGAACAGCTGGGCAGAGGGCCTGAGGTCAAAGGGGGGTGGTGCTGTCTCTGTACTTTGAGGGTTTCCAGCCCACACAGGGTAAAGCCCTGAGGAACCTGGCTTGACAATATGGCTGAGCCTGCTCTGGGCAGTCAGACTGGAGACCTCCTGAGGTGCCTGTTGGCCTGGATTACTCTGATCAATCTACCTCTTTTACCTATAAAATACATTTATTGGGCAGAGTTGAGACATGGTAGGGTTCCATAGTTCAAATCTTACAAAGAAACAAACTCAACTCTGATAAAGAAAGACCTTGTTTTCATAGCATGGTTGAAAGATTTTTTTTTATTTTTTTTTATTGTTGTTTGGGGGGGTAGCTTTGACTCGCTATGTCTGACCTAAAAAGCTAGAATTGTATCAGAAGGACCGGGTAGGGTAGGTGGAAGATGTCAGGATCAGATTCTGCTTTGTTGTCTGCTCTCTTAAGAGGTTACTGCTCTGGAGTATGTGCTATTTCATGTGACTTAAAACCAAGCGGGAATATCTTAATCACTTAAAACCAAGCTGGAATATCTTAATCACACTTTCATAATTTCACTGCTATTGTGAGTGTGAATTCAAGGTGAATTTTCAGTCTTTTGCACTGTTTCACAGTTATAATGCTGCTTTGGCAGTACTTCGATGTCCTCCTCTTTAGGCTGTAGGTATTTGGGATAGCAGCAAGATGCCTAGCATTGTTGCCTACTGCATGGGCAGATTTTTTCCTTGAGTAGTAGTAGAGCCAAATGCATACTTATTCTGAAGGACTGGCTATGTGTTATCAGTTCTCTTGAGAGGAAAGAATTTAGTTTTCTCTTCCTCTATGTAAATTGACCTATTCACAGAATGAATAGTGATCTGTCTGAACTTGTTTTCCTGGTGGGGATCAACCTAGAGGCAGACAGGCTCCGTATTTAGATTTTGAGTAGTCTTCAGATCCCTCTTGGAGCTAAAAGAATGCATCTCTGCATGAACCACTCTCTTGAGAGCAGTGGCTGTCAGAAGTCTGGAAATTCCTAGGAGCAGTTCTGGGTCAAATGAGAATCTTTCTACAGCAGGGATGTTCAGTGCAGAGATGTTAGTGATGCTCTCTCTAGCTAAGAGGTGAACTATGAGAGTGCTGCTGGCCAACACTGAGCTGATCAGTCTGTGCTGAGTAGAAGCTATTCAAAATTGTTGCTTGCATATCACTTTAAATATGGGGTTTGGCTTTTTTGAGAATACTGGTTCATATGGCAAAGGGGTTTGTGCATACTTCTATGAGGACGTGTCTGAGCTTTGGCTGGGTTTAGGCTTTTTCAAAGGCAGGTCATCCAGTGTCATGTGGATCAGGGTAACTTGGTGTGGGCAATATCCATCTTTGTTAAAAGAGTCTTTCATGCAGCAATATAGGAAATTTGGCTTGATAAGAAATGAGAAATGGAAAGGTGTGGCTAATGAGTCAGAAGACTGAAGATGGCTGCAGTAATCAGAGTGAGCCTGTTCACGCAGCAGTAAGCTTGGTTTATTTTATGGTGCATTAGACTCGGATATCCCTGTTCTGCAGGTAACTTGCTGCTTTCCTGGCTTCCTGATTTGTGGAAGTGGCTGTGGCATTGTACAGCTAAATGATATATAGGGGAGGAGAAGGACTAGCTGCTTTTCTGTGCTTTTATGCAATAGAATGACTTCTGTATAACACATACAAATGTAAAAGCTTTGTAACCACTAACTTTTGAAATAATGCTTCTGGCACATTCTTCTGCTTCTGGTTATGAGATGATAATGTGTAAAAGGTATGCTTCTTTTGTGGTTAACAGTACTTGGCCAAGTCACAACTCGTTTATATCAACAGTACTGTACTTATTTTACTGTGTCAATTAATAGTAGGTGATTTTAGGAGGATTCTGAAGCAGAGATATTGAAAAGCATGGAAGGTAATGGTGGCAGAGGTGTGAGGGAAGCATTGTAAGCAATTGAGGTCTGGCTCAGGTGTTTTAACCCTAGCTAGCTGTCCTCATTCTGCATTTTTTTTGCTTTGCTGCAAAAAATATTTAAGTTGCCAAATGGTATGGACAATTTTCTTAGGATTTGGAGTTAGGAAAGAACTTGATACTTAGGCAGCCTTTCCCAGTGTTTTCTGTGTGGCAAACAGTAGTGGTCATGAAAACCAGGTGAATACTTGGCGGATTAGGGAGAATTGGAAGATGTGATTATTTTAGAGTGAATGGTCTTAGTGGCTGTGGTTCAGGTTCTTTGCCTTGATACTGATATATTCTTTACTTCCTGCAGTCCTTCAGGTGTAATGTGTACTTTGAGTGGCCTCTGGAAAGACATCTAAAAATAAGGATCTTAAACTGCACTTCTAGTGCATTCCACCTCATAGCTATTCATTCCATTTAGCAGTTGGCATTGCCTGTGTTGATCAAAACAAAAATGTCTGTCTCCTGCACTCATGCTATATCTTCAAACCCAAAAGATCGCTCTTAGGATGAGCAAGAAATTATTCCACTTAAGTGGAGGAGATAAGTGGATCTAAAACTGCTCAGGTGGGACTACTAGTAACTAGCCATTGTGTTTTAGAAATGTTGCGCTCTGTCTTGGGCTTTATAGAACTAGAACATTAACTGAAGTTATGTTTCAGTGTAAAAAGAGAATTGGTGATAACATCTTGTTCTCTGCCTTCCTGATTGCTGCTTTTCTCAGGAGAAGTCTATTGCTCAAGATTTAATTCTGAGAATAATTTTGATGCATTGGAGTTCAGTGGGCAGGCAGGATAGATTGTGGTGGGGCTAGCAAAGGACCAGCCATGTGACCAAATTGTGGGAATGATTATGTTGGGGAAATTTATTCTGTCCAAGCTGCTGAATCCAGTCATGTGAGCAGGTACAAAGGAAACTTGGGAAGCCTGGAAATTGGCTAATACTGTAAACCTCCAGAGCTGTAGTAGTCAGATGCAACTCCTGGATGTCGATGTTCATAGGTTGTTTTACCACAAAAGGTGCTCTCTGACACAGGTAACTACTATCTCTGAGGGGCAGAGAATTTTGTAAACTGCTACTTTAATGCAGTCTCATTAAAGCTTGTCTGGACTTGAATGTAGTCAGTTGAGGCTTTCAGTTTGTCTTCATAGAATAAACAGTTCACGCATACTTGCCTGTATATAGTTGGGAGTGTATAGTTTAGAAGTGAAAATGTTACTATTGTTTTTTGGGTTGAGACCAGAGAGAATGGCTTTCAAGTTAGCAGATGATACAGAAGTCTCAGTATTTTTCCTAATGAAATGGTTAAGGGGCTTTATCAATCTAAGTTAGAAATGAAGACCAGACATGAAGTCAGCCGGCTGTATTTACTGTGGTAGCAAACTGAAATGAAGACTAATTTGCACTAGTTTAAAACAGGCGAAGTTGTTTTGAAGCATATGTTATAAAAACTAGATGCAGTAGCCTTCTAAAATCTGAGTCCTTGTGATTTCTATTACGTTTAGACTTGCCTCATCTGCTAACCAGAGGGGAGAAGCATCTCTTGTATTTACAGGGGTGTGAAGCTGTGACCACAGTCAGGAGTCTCCCCATTTGTGCCATTGTGCTTATATTTAGCATCTGGAATATTTGTAATTATCTGTAAATGTCTCATTAGCTTTTGTAGTATCCTCCTAGCACTATTCAGTTTAAATCCAAGTGGGTTTGCAATGATATTTTATTTAAAAGCAGACAGTGTGCTTGGGGACAAATTAAGAGCTATTTCTTTCATATTTTGCTTCAGTTCCTCCATTTTTGAGAAATCGTCTACTGTCACTTGTATGTCCAATGGTACTCTTAAACACTTATTGCAAGGAAATTGTGGAATACTGTCTGTGCAAGAATTTAAATTTTTTAAAACCTAGAATTTTAAGAACAGGTGGGATTCTTTAGCAGAGTATATGCACTGTATATGTATTTTTCTTGTGGGCTGGGAAAGGCATGTAAGGGGAGTTTTTCAATGCTGCATGGTCATTTTATGTGCTAATGGACTCATTGTGTTGGGTTTTTTGGGTTGGTTTTATTTCTTTTGTTTCCCCTCAGTCTTAAAGATTTAAAAAATTTTGTGGTGTAGTTTCTTTTAGGCATGGTGTGGTTCTGGAGGTAGTTTCCAGGGTAGATGCAGGGGTAACTAGACTGCAGTGTCTTTTTAATCTTAAAAATAAGCTCCTTATGTAAGAAAAATTACTTTAGAACTTAATTTGGAAAGATTAGATTGGAATTGCCTCAAATCCAATTAAGCCACACTGCATGGACGTGCTGGGAATATAAATGCAATTACTGTAAATTTGTACAAACTGATTTGTTGCATTATCTTGCTAATCTAACATATGGTACTTTTTGTGTCCATATTGCAGACGGCAACTCCAAACTAACATGGCAGTCAGACTGTGTGATGTGGCTTCTCTGCTTAGAAGTGGTTCGTGGGCAGCAGAGCCTTGGACCGGGGTCTGTGGGTCTTTTCTTAAATTCTGCAGGATACTTTTTAACATGTTAATAGTGCTGAGGCCATACCAAACTTCTTAATCTTCCATTTGGAATGTTAACTCTTGTTCTACGCTTCATTATAGGCTGTAGGTTGCGTCCCTAATCTGTGAGAGCCTGGAGCACACTGGTATATCATGATAACTTCATATATAATATAGTGATCTCCTGTAGAACTTACACTGCAGTGACTTGCCTTTTTTCTAATGTCAATTAGATTTCAGTACGAACTCAAATCACTCGGTGGATGATTAAGAGTAGTATTGTACTAAAATGGTTTTGGTATGGTCTGAATACTAAATAGCAATAATGTAAAAAAACCCTGTATACTGTTATTTGTGATTACTATTTTAAAAGTATATTTACAAATCTTGCTTTAAGAAATTGTTTGAAAACTGTAAATTTATCTCAAACTATTTTTCTGGGTAGAAAATATTTAGTAACTGCTGTGTGCTTTGTGTTTTATGAATGGTTGTATTCAACTTATCAATGGAATATGCATTATTTGTAAAACATATTAGTGTCAGTTTGTTCAGAGCAGATGGCTCTATAGCTGAGAAATGCTGTAATTTCAGCACACTCAGGCTACTGCACCTGTTCACTTGAATATTGGCATAGGATCTCATTCTTGCCACCTGAACACTAAAACAAATGTGCAGTTAAGTGAGGATTGTTGTCCTTGCTAAATCCTGCTAATTTTGATCAATAAACACTTCAAATTTGAGTGAGAGTGAGAGGGCGTGAGAAGCAATTCTAGAGAGCCTCAGTCAGAGCACAGCATTTGTAGCTACTAGCTCTGCCAGATATACTAGTGTTTTGAAAAGTAATTTTCTTAATTAGGATCATCTACTTTCTCATCTTCTTAGCAGACTTGTTTTATCAGTGCCAGAAGCAGGTTACCCCTTGGAGTTTGTCACAAAGGAACTGTTGTTCCAGTTCCTAGCTACTCAGGAAAACTAGATCAGATTTTTATATTAAGTGTTCTTAATAGATGCATCTTCCCTTTCTTGTGCTGAAGTAGCATCTTGGAAAATACTTCTGTATGTAAAACATATAAGTGTATTTCCATAAATGTCTGAATTGTAGTTTAAAGACAGTCAATTTAGCTTCTCATATATTTTTAGGAAATTTAAATTTATGTTCCTTGAGTACAGTTGACCTAATCAGGGTGTGCTGCTTTGAACAGGACACATAGATAAGCTCCAGAGGTCCCTGACATTAAACTGTGATATTACAGTAGGCTTTATGTGAGAAGTCCTCATAGAACTTTCAGAATGAGGTTTAATTTCAGTGACTGCTGGATATTTTTAGTGAACTTCTTGCTGAGTCTTGCTTCTGTGTTGAAGTGTTTATTACCGGAAAATTAATTTATAAAATTTCCTGTTGGATGTTGTCTTACGTGGTTGGTCTCAGACAGGGTAGGTAGGCTGACCAAGGCCTGGGTATTAGTCTGCAGTTAAAAATCCATGTAATTATCAACTGTTACCATTCAGTGACTGACTGAGATGGCAGTGGTAGATTGTGGGCAAATCCTAACAGTTCTCCAAGTGATTGTTGCTGTATCTGCCAATCTTACAGTCAGTTATTTTGGGGTGAAACATGATAGTTCCTGGAGTGGTGATCACTCTCTTATTTTGATGTATAAAAGTAGATCAAGTTAAAGTATCAAATTTTTAACTTTTTTCAGGGTGTAGGGGGAGGGAAGAAGTGAGAACCAGGGACTTTCAGTTTAACCAAAAGCATTTAGAAACCTAATTACAATCTTTGGTGACAGAAGGTTGACCTAGAGGTTGCCAAGGAGGAGTTTTTCTATCCCAGCACATCCATATATCTCTCAGTCTCTTTCGATGGCTAATTTTTCTGCTTTTGCATTCTGCTATTGCTTATGAGAAATAGGCTCAGGATACAGTTAACACCCACCTCTTCGAGAAAATAACCAAAATAACTAACTTTAAAAGCTGTATTTCATATAACTTCATTTATTAGTTGTAAGTTAATAGAAATGTTTACCCTTGCAACAGACCAGTTCTGCTTGGTAACTAGAAAGGCTATGATGCCTCTAAATGTAGGGAATGCAGGTTGATGAAAGCTAAGCTTTGACTCCTGACTTCATTAAGAGAAATCCTGGAAACTTTTGTGGCAACTTTATTTGCCTGTAAGCTTTTTGAGGTATTGCTTTGCCTTAGTTAAAAATCTTTCTGTATTAGTAGAGCCTTTTGCATTATAGAGGCAGAATATGGCCTTGCCTAGTGACAGGTACTGCAGATTCTTGTCTGAACTTTCCTAATAGATGGTGAAATATGAATTTTGATGGTTCTTGTTTTCTGTTTTTCAGCAGGTAATTGCTACCATGGAAACACAACTGTCTAATGGACCAACTTGCAATAACACAACCCATGGTTCAACCACCATAAACAACTGCTCATCACCAGTTGATTCTGGGAATGCAGAAGACAGCAAGACCAATTTAATAGTCAACTACCTTCCACAAAACATGACACAAGAAGAACTGAAGAGCCTCTTTGGCAGCATTGGTGAGATAGAATCCTGCAAGCTTGTTAGGGACAAAATAACAGGTATGTTCATTTTGGAATTTTCTGTATCTTCATTTTCTAAGCTGTGAGCTGTCAAATGGTGTTTTGCACTTAAATCGTGGAATAAAGGCAGAAGAAATTAATGCTTGTGTTGCTAGTAAGAAGGAGCTTAGGCTCATTATCTAGACTCTGCACCCCAAAATTAAGTGTTTGCAGTTAATCAGGTTTGTTTGAGTACTGTAAATGCTAACAAGGTATTTAAATCTTATGAGCTTTAGAGTCTTTGAAGAAAAGATTTGGAGTAATGATTTCCTTAGTCCTAGTTGATGCAAAACTCCCTTTTGCACAGATGTGGGTAAACTTGTACCCTGTGAAGAGGGCAGACCACCTTACTTCGTAGGTGAAGCTGCTTTTGTGTTGCAGCACTTCAGCCACTTTCTTGAGGATGAATAATTGAATCAATATAGTGTAAGTATGAACTGCATTATGATGTGTTAGTACTTTATTTCAGCAATAGCTGGTGTGTACAGGTTGACTGTGTTAGACCAGTTTTTTACTCTTGAAAGAACTACCAGATGGATGCCAGCACTTTAGAACAAGAATAAAAGGATGACTGGCAAATTTCAATTTCTCATCTCTATTTTTCAACTCCAAGCCTTCTCAAAAAACGTTGATGTACCAGTCGTGTCAATGTATTATTGGGTTTGTTCAGAAATGCTGACTTCAGTACTTGATTTCCTGGCTTCCCCCCTGCCCCGAGTCTTCAAATATCCAGCTTTCAAGAACACAATTTTAACTTGTGCTCTTGATTGCAACACCTGAATGTGCTGGTTAGCTTTGTGTTGAGAATACATCTCTTTGAGGCTGCATGTTCTATGCTTTGGTTTAAGGGTTTAGGGGTCAGTATTTCCTATTACCAAAAAGTAGTGTCAGAACATGGGCATTTTGCTTACACTGAATAAACTTTGTGACTTGGTGTTCCCCAAACAGCAGCAGTGGGAAGTGGAAAGGACACAGGTTGTGTTGCTTCAAGCCCTACTATACTTGATGTGTTTGTTGATAGCTTGAGGTATGCTGGAGGAATGTGTTTTTCCCAGCTGCATACATTAGTAGTGAGAGACAAAGCCTAAAATCCTTCAGGCAGCTCTGGTACCCACCCTAGGACCTGTCTTTGACATGCAGCACATGCTTTCTTCTCTAGTCCTGATGATTTATTTATCTGCTCCTCTATCATTGGTCACTCCTGATGATAGGTCTTGGCTACTGTCCTCTATAACAGTTTTGTTGTCAGGCTGCACTTGTTTGTCCCCAGTCACAAGGTAGATTCTCATCCCTATTTCTTCCTGCAGTTCAGCCCTGTATAGTATCAGTTAGTTATGCTTGACTTCAGATACCTTACAAAGTAGAAACTAAAGAGAAAGGTAGATGCCCATACTGGGACCTAGAAAGGTGATGCTGTACTTCTGAGACTGCAAGAATGGGATTTTTCTTTAAAGTCTTGATATTTTCTACTGACGGTTGTACTCACAATTTGTCAATTTGAAAGTGAATTCCCCCAAAACAAGGGCATTCTGCCTGAAGAGTAAGACTTGCCAAAGATGGTGGCCAAAATATATACCTTTGTTTTGATGAATGCACTAGGCCATGCTTCATGGCAGTTCCTCATTTCAGTTAGGGATTGTGACAACTTACTCTCCCAGAGGTAGAGACCATTTAGGGGCACAAAATGAGTCAAGCAAAGGGGCTGCTTAAAGCCCAACACTGTTCCTTTGGCCTCCTTATTGAATAGTCTCTGGCTGACTTCTGTGCTTACAAAGGAAGGCTGCTTTGCCTCCCCTTTCAATCTGAATGACCAGCACTTTTTCCTATAGCAGGTGGCTTGCTTTTAAGCTGTTAGGTACTGGAATGGTTAAATCTGTGAATACTGTGTTTCACCATGGTATTCTTGGCCACTGAAAGCACTGATTTTGCTCCTTTGGGCTCTACCAAACTTATTGTCTCAGTAATCTGTGCTCTTTCACTGAATGAGAACAGTACTGAATGTGCTTTGGGGCACCAGGGAAACTAGACTCTGCTGATGCCACATCTTGCTGTCTTCAGCAGGCTGGTTGATACAGAAAAGAAGTCTGCCTTCTCTTTAGGTAATGACCTCTGCGGTTTGAAACAAAAGGTCTTTTACTTTGCACTCTGGGAACAGAAGGTCAGGAGACAGCTAAGAGGTAACTGGTGCTTCATCAGTTACTGGGATGGATATTCAAAGCATTTATCTGTCTTGCAGATCTGAGTTAATATGTTTAGCATTCCTTATATAAAGGATTGCGTGCTTCTTCCAGTTAAAAGGCTGCTGCAGATATACAGAAGTGAGCCTCAAGTTCTTAATCATGGATGTGGAAATTGCCTGCATATATATGTGATAGTTTTGATGTTTTACATGCTAGAAGCTCACATTGCTCCTGCTTAGTGTCTAAAGACTCCTTGCTTGGGACTAAAATGAAGCAAGACAATGTAAGAACTCTTGTTTGAAGATGTGATGTGTTCTGTATAGCATAAAATGGTGCCTAAGAAAAATCCTGACTTGTAATTATGCTCTTAGTGGAAGAGGACAACCAGTGTTGGAGTGGAGATCGAATTGGTGTTTCTGCTTTATTAGAGAGCAGCTCCTCAGCTTTGAGGCATATATTCAGCTGTCAGCAAAACACTGCCTCAGCCTTTAGCCAAAAGGTTTTAGTATAAATGAGAAATGTAGCATCTGACCTTATAATTACATTGTTACTCCTGATTTAGGTAGTTTGGAGAAAGATTACCTAGTGTTTTGTGGATGCTGGAGAGAGAATGCTCTAGTTCCAGTCTTGTTCTTACTCATTTTCAGGTTTTCTACAGGGAGTTCTTGAAAAGCAAATTTTTAATTTCTACAAATCAGAACAGGGATCATTGCTAAGTTTCTGTAAAGTAGGATTTTTTTAAATTGCATAATTATATTGGTTTAATTTGTGTTAAAACAGTAATTATTGGTTAAGTGAAATCTCGTAAGTATTGGGTACCTGGTAATACCTCTACTTTCCCCTGAACTTTTCAGTGAAAGCTGAAATGCACTTTCATAAAGGCTAAACTGCAAATGAAAATTGTTAAGGGGGAAAGCATAGGTCTGCCTTTGACTTCATTTATGACATGCTGGAACTGAGAGCTCTTTGCCAGGCAGGTAAGATGGCTTCAGTGTAGGAACACTTAAGAAATCTGGTAGTATCTTCACTGGTGAGTGAAATAAACACATAGGTGAACCATTTCTCAGCAGTAAAGAATGCCCAAAGCCCCATCCAACCTGGCCTTGAAAAAGAAATTCTAACCTATCTGTCAATATTAGCAGGTAGTATCAGGAGTTCCAGACCCTACCCCACTGATGTGATCCACTAGGAAATTTTAAGACTTAAAGATGCCTGCTATATACTGGGTCACCAGTGCCATTTGTTGGCTACTGCCATCTTGACCCAAATACTTGTCAGAGCATTCTGTGATTTTTGGACGAAATTACCTTCCACCCTACTGTTTAATATTATATTTCCAGTCACATCTGCAACACTGGAGTACATGAAAGACTTCATTATAGCAGTGCTGCAGCTTGTTGAAGCTGTCTGTGTACTTTAGGGTTGAGATGAGTTGAATTTGAGGACCTCCCTGCCTGTGGAAAGTGTAGTGGAGGGAAGGGAGGCACCCTGGAGTTTACCTACTGATTTTATGGGTGGAGTCTGAAGTCCTGTTTCTAAAAAGGCTGTTCTAGTAGTTTCAGTAATGCTTTTTTCTACTGTGTGGAATTTGTTAAAGTAATTCCTTGTACTGTACTGTCAATGAAGTTTGTGTCACATACTGATTTTTACTTAAGTTTAATTGTGAAGTAGTTAGGGTAGAGAGCTGAACTGCAGAAGGTTCCTGCTGGCCATACCTGAGTATGCAGTTCATGGGCACAACCTGCTGTTAAGGTAACATTAGTAAGTGAAGTTAACTTGCTCAGCTAATGGAAAAACACTGAAAGTGTTCTCAGCAAGACTTAAAATAGCTGATTGCTGTTCCATTCTTCTACTGATGGTAGAGAAATTAAACCTTGATGCTAATGAAGATTTTAAAGGGTGCTGAGCAAGAGTCTCTTTATGTGAGAATCCTCTTGAGGAGAGCAGCATCTGAGATGCAGGGGCATGAATGTCACTTACCTTTGCTTCCTAACCAAAGAATCTCTCTAGAATGAGTCGTTGTGCTCAGAGATTCTGAAGTCTGTTAAGTCTTGTATGCTTGTCATGGTTTAACCCCAGCCAGACAGCTTGTTCACTCACTCCCCCCCTTCTTGCCCTCCCCCTACTCCCAGAGGGAAGGAGAGGAGAATCGAAAAGAATTCAACTCCCATGGGTTGAGATAAGAACAGTTTAGTAACTAAGGTATAACACAGATCACTGCTGCTGCCACCGATGATAATAACGATAAAGGAAATAACAAGGGAAGAGAATACGACCCCTCATCACCTGCCGACCGATAACTTGCCCCACCCTGCTTTGACCAAGCACTGACCGATACCTCCTCCAACCCTGCAGTCCACTAGCTCTTCCAGGTAACTCTGTTATATCCTGGGCATGACATGCTGTGGTATGGAATACCTCTTTGGCTAGTTTGGTCAGGTGTCCTGTCTCTGCTTCCTCCCAGCTTCCCTTCCTCCCTGGCAGACCATGAGGCTCAGAAAGTCCTTGGTCAGGGTAAACATTACTTAACAACAACTAAAAACATCAGTGTTATCAGCACTGTTCCCAGGCTGAAAGTCAGAACACAGTGCTGTACCAGCTACCAAGAAGGAGAAAAATTGACTGCTACTGCTCACAATTCTTTTGACTAATGGAGATGTATGTAAACACAAGGTAAAAAGTTACCACATGAGCTAATTATATTCATACAGTAGGTGGGAGATCCTGTTCTCAGTGCATCATAACTGAATTGCTACTGGCTGCTCTAGATAACTGTATAGTTTAAGGGCTTTTGCATATTTAAAAGCAGCAGGTAACATT